GAAGGAGTCATGATGCAAAAGCATTCAATAGTGCAGAACAAAAGGCAAAAAGGAACACAGAACCTTTTTGAGATAAGACACAATCAAAAGGGTGTGAGACACCTTGGTTGCAAAATTCAAAGACACCATGTGGGAAATGAGATGGAACCTGCCTTTAAGCAATATGGCCTTCATAACGCCCCAAGTTACTATGCAGCCATCTGTGGAAGAAAAGTCAGAAGTCTTTTCCAGTTCTGGACCTTGAAACCTGTAATACTAACTTGTCAGGACAGAGGTACTACTTGTGCAGTAGTGGCAAGAATGTTAAAAGAATAACCAACTAATTTCTAGTTATTCTGAGGCCCACCCATAAGAGTAAGTTGATACCTAATGCTGTGAACCTGGTCAAAGGCTCATGGCTAGGCAGGCCATAGGCACTATGAGTAAATCTACTACTTTTGCTTTCCTAAACAGACATGGCATCAAACTATCTCCACAATATTCAAATTAATAACCATAGACTGGTACAGTCTTCAAAGAGGCTTCTATTTGCAATTGAGACTCATAGTCAAAATGTGGAGAGCATGTGAGTGTTGAGTGTTCAGCCATAGATGGAACACCCATATGTCCCCTCCAAGACTCAGGAAACATGGTAGAAGAGGGGATGAAAAGAATGTAAGAGCTAGGTAATAGGAAGGAAAACTAGGAGATGCTATCTTTTGACTAAGACGTGGCCATGGCACTTCTGAACCCACAACAGCCTACATAGAACTTTAACAAGACCGAGCTTGTAAAAAAAAAAATGAGTCCAAGCTAGGAGAGGGGATTGTGGGGCCCCACTGCATCCAGGGGAGCTAATGGAAACTGAGTGCTACTGGGAGAGAAGTCATTGTCATTTGTGACATAGCCACTGATGGGTTCCTCATGCTTCATGGGATAGCTACATGTCCTTGCTCATGTAAATGGCCCTAGTTAAACTAAAATGCAAGGGTACAAATAAAGCAGAAAGACATGAAATTTACATAGGAACTTGATGAAAGGGGGAATCTGTGTGGGGAAGATGGTGAGCATGGGTATACATATATTATACTTCTACTGCTGGAACAGAGGTTGCAGCTGTGGCTGTGGGGACTGACTGGAGTTGGGTAAAGGAAGTATAAGAGTTTGAATAGGTGTGTATTTGAATATATATGACTAGTCAAAATAGATTGATTTTCAAAAAGGGCAATAGCGGAGAATAGAAAGATACATGTAGAGAGGACACATGTTTCACAGTAAATTGTGGCAAGTGGCCTTTACTATATTCATGGCTGAATCTTCCCTTATCTGAAGTTTTCCATTTGCAGTAGAATCCCAAAGTAACACTTCATCAAGAGTACTCATCTCCATTTCTACGGACTTCTAGAACCTCTGTAACTCTAAACTTCTCAAAAGGATTTAGTTCACGAGTGTGTTGTAAGAAAATGTGCGCTTGTGATACAGAGATGTCAGCACTCATTTCAGGTATACTCGCTCTCAATGAAGTCACTACTGAGGGCGTTCGGTCTCATTCCAACAGAAAAGGGAGGCAGGCAGTGATAAGTACCAAGGAGTCAAACATGGGATGGTTCTCTGTTCCTGTTGTCAAAATCTCATTCATAGAAGCAAGAAATAAAACAGTGATTTCCAAAGACTGGAAAGGGGTAGGAAAGAGTGGGGAGAGATTGGCTAGCATGTACTAAATTACAGCTGGGAAGGAGGAATACCTAAAAATGTGACCATACCTAAAAACAGTATATTGTTTACTTCATAGTATCTAAAAGAATTGGTTTTGAATGTACGTACCACGAAGAAATGGCAGCTTTTAGGTGATGAATATGCTAATTACCCCGATTATTTCACAAGTCATTTCACTTGTACTTAATACATATCTTGTAATACCATACTGAAATACCGCACTGTACTTAATGTATATGTAATTACTAGGTGTCTTAAAAAGTGGTCTTAATGTACAGTTAAACTCAGAAGTCATCTTATTATCTCTTAATAGAATTCTAGATTCATACTCATACTTTCAAGTATTCCCCAACTCCAGTCAGTTCCCGCGGCCCTGTATTAGCCTTTTCCTACAGCAGTGCTTTGCTGACCTGCCATCCCCCATTTCTGTCTTTCCAAGGTAATCGCTACATTCTTACCAGTGATGGTTCCAAAGCCAACCTTGCTTCATTTCACCTTTTTGCTTCTGGTTTTCCAATTTCTTCTGCTTAAAGGTCTCCCTCTGGTGACAAAATCATCCACTCTGGGTTTCTGCTTGCTGACTAATGTATTCCTTCGTGACCTCACGGCATTGTGTGCTTCTTTCTACCTCAACAACTCAGGGATTTGAAAACCTAAACATGTATCACCCAGTTAACTGACTGGTCATTGAGGGTGATCTTACTCATATTTGTGGCCTTCGTTTCTAGGCAAATTACTGGAAACAGAGTAAATACTCAGAAACATCTACTGAAGTGGATCCAGAAAGTTATGGTAGGCCTAGAAAAAAAAAAGGACAACAAAAGGGTTTCATACTAGAAATAAGAAAATAGCAGATGGGACAGAAAACATATTCTGAAGTTGCTGAGCAAGCTAAGTAAAACCACTAGGAAATAAAAAGAAATCTGGTTTTGTGGCCTATTTTCCTCACCTCACTCATTTTTAATATATTCAGGTTACTAGGAGGGACAAAGATGTCTGCTAGAAATTAATCAGAATATTATAAAACACATGTCAATTTTATGGAAAGTATTGCAGAAATTTATATGGACAGCAAATAATATTTGTGCTGAGAAATCATATAATTTATACTTGGTTTTAGACCAAAAACAATGAAATAATGCATTTTAAAATATTATTTAAAAAACAGATTCAGACTTCTGACAAATAAAAGACATTGTTTTGAAAATAATTAATTTAGAGGATTTAATGTGGCAACTTTAGAATCAGAAATAATATTGTGCCCTGCTACTAGGTTGACAGCATTACCTTATGTACAGTAGAAGGATTTCAAAGTGAGTGATAACCTGAGAAAATTGTAAAAGATGTTAGCAGGCTTCAAGAAGAGGTCTAGTCGGTAACAGTAGGAAGGACTGAGATATTTATCATCTCCCTTGTGCTTAGAGAAATGGAAATCACATTATAACTTGGAAGTTTCAGTAGAATTTTTATGGCATCAGAGTACCACAGACTTTAACGAAAGTATCTGATAAAGCACGGAGAAGAGGAAATGGAATGTTCGTTGACTAGAGATAAATCTAGGCTTGTTACAACCTAAGGCAAACATTGGAATAAAGTCTTGAAGATGTTCTCGTTTCTCCCCTCTGACAACAGTAACACACAGGCATGATTAATCACTGTAGAAGACTTTTCAATGGAAGATAAAGTATAGACAGGTTAAATGCCATACGATGACAGCTAATGACAGTGACTCAGAAGGAGCAGATGGAGCCCATGTTTATAGCTCACCAATAACAAGGAATCTGCAGACACTAACAAGTGTAAATCTAATCAAAGGTGCAGCAAGCCTTCACAGTTGAAATGAATAGTGTAGGAAAGGAAGATGAATATTAATAAGTCATAGGAAGACACCAGCCATCAACAGGTACCAGATTTGTATTAGTTGATTTGAATGAAGCCTATAGAAGGTCTGCTCCCCACTTTCACAGATGCCAGCAGTTCTGGAGGAATGAATGATTCTTTGGATGATAGCATTAGCATTTAAATGATCTTCTTAAAACTCTAACAAAATTAAATTTATACATGAATACAACATCATTTTATTAGTTCTTTGAGAATTTTGTGCTTATATCCATCCTATTTACTCCCCTCTTTCAGCTTTTCTAAGATCTACCCTGCCTTCCCTACATTCACAACTTCGCGTTTTTATTTTTTTTTAACCCATCAAGACTAATTTGAACGCAGATATTTTTGGATACAGGGTCTTTTGCTAAGGATGGGAGACTTACCAGAGGATACACTCTTAGAAAAAAAACTGACCCTCCCAGCAACTAACAACTGCTAATAGATCTTCAGCTAGGATAGGTACTTCCTGTGAACCTCTCCTCTCCATGCTGGGATTTATTCTGGCTTAGACTTGCACAGGTCCTGTGCATGTTGTCACAACCACTGTGAGTTCTCATGTGCGGCTGCCCAGCTGTGTCCAGAAGACATTGATTCCTTGCAGTCATCTATTGCTTCTGACACTTACGCTCTTTCAGGCTCCTCTTCCCAAACTGATCCCTGAGCTGTGAGAGGAGTGGTTGTGGTATAATGTATTCCTTTTAGGGATAAACATTTTGCAGTCTCTTATTCTCTGCACCTTGGCCAGTTCTGGGTCTCTGCGTTAATCATCATATACTTCAAATAGAAGCATCTCTGATGAGGGCTGAGAGATGCCTTAATCTATTACTATAATAAGTCATTAGGAGTCAGTTTAATACTATGTCCATTTAGCAGAATAATAGGAGGTTCTGCTGTGTTTTGTTACACTTGCCCTTGAAAGTGCAAATCCCTATTAAATACAACCTTCAATTAAAAATGATCCTCTCCTCATTTTTGATAAGGAGCAGCAAGCAGGCAATGCCTTAGCAATTCAGCCACTGCCAACTTGGCACATGATAAACACTGCGATGCTATATTAAATATTGAAATATTTGGATGAAATGACTTTTGCATGGGCCTGTTTGAGACTAGAGTGGCTCATGATTACTTGCACATTTGCATTATAAAGACAAGTTAAGCAATGGATCCTGTGTTAACCATGTGTTGACCTTCTAGCTATGTCCACAGGCATATGCATGCCAGTGTATATTATTGAAATGGCATGTAAAACAGGAGGAAAGTGATTGAAAGGGGACATTTGATCCACAAAGAAAGAAGTTAAGGTAATTGTCTTTACCCCTTCCCCTTTTCTTTTCTTCTTCAGCTTCATCTGTCTGCCCCTCAGCCCTGGAGGAGGCTATGGGCTGAGGACTCACTGCTGGAATGAAGAGTGACTGAGCTGGAGCTGAGGTCAAGGTAAATCTCTGCTCCCAGTCATTGCTGCAGCCTTCCCCCTTCCCTTTCCCTAGCTCCTCAGCAGCTTCTCCTGGTGCAAATCCCCTGCAAAGACACTGAAGCGGCCGCCGAAGTTGCCAGGCGCAGGACTCCGGAGGCATTGGCTCAGGAACTTTTCACGTCATTCCCGGCTCCGGAGCCCCTAGTCGCGGCGGCGCAGCCTTTCCCACCGCGGATCCCCGGTGCTCATGGGGCAGGCAGAGACAAGCTTGCAGCACTGAGCCCAACAGGACCAGTCCGTGATGTCCAGCACTAAATTGGAGGATTCCCTCTCTCGTCGCAACTGGTCATCTGCTTCGGAGCTGAATGAAACTCAAGAGCCGTTTTTAAACCCCACGGACTATGACGACGAGGAATTCCTGCGGTACCTGTGGAGGGAATACCTACACCCGAAAGAATATGAGTGGGTCCTGATCGCAGGGTATATTATCGTGTTCGTTGTGGCTCTCATCGGGAACGTCCTGGGTGAGTCTGGTCACGGGCAACCCTCCAGAAAGGCTGTCACCTCCCCTCCGCCCAGACTGCAAGGCTGGGAGACCCCTCCCTTCTCCCGGGGTGCAAACAAAGAGGTCGCTGCTCTTGGGTGAGGTTTCTAATAATTTTGGGGTTGTTGTTAAGTTTTCTGATTTTACAAACTAGGAACGAGCTCTAGAATGATTATCATGTTTGTCTGCAGAGAAAAGAGGGAAACTGTTTCTGTTTGAGAACCTAGATTATAAGCCCAAGGAGAGGGACAAGGACCTCCAGGTGGATTTGCTGAGTGTAGGGGAATCTGTAATGCTTTTGTGCAGGCTGGGTGGGTTTGTTGTGGAGGGCTTGCATCAGGAAAAACTGGTGAAGTCATTAGGCCTTCGCGAGCTCGGTACCATGCCCTTTAGCAAGGAGGCTTAGGCTCGGGTCAAGAAGTGGTAATGAAGGGGCAGAGTGGAGGTAGAGGCAGGCAGGCAGGAGTGCGCTCAATCACAGAAGCGGAATTAAACAGAAACCTTGCCTGGAGCCTTAGGAGGAAGGAGGAGCAAGAAAAGTGCTCCGGAGCTAGTCCTCACCACCCATTCAAGCATGCACGCATGCATGCATGCATTCATTCATTCATTCGTTCATTCATTCTTTCATCCATCCATCCGTCCATCCATCTATCCATCCATCCTTTCAACCAATACATATTTCCCCCAAGTGAGTGGTTGTTATCAGTTTCAGAAAATATTTGTACCAACTGGTGCTTTTTTCTTACAATAAAACTAAGCTTAATGTCAGAGTCTGTCTTGGTCTGTGAAAACACAGGTTTCCTTGCTCGCTCATTACTGCGCTCCCAACCACAATTTCTGATGGATAAAGTGAGGGAGGAGTAAGAAAGCTATGGGGGCTTGGTGGATTCATTAGGACAGGATGGGGGGATCTCTTTCAAGAAAACGAGCTTCCTTCAGGGAGGGAGCTACGACTTAAATTGTGAATGGAAGGAGTATGTACCTTGATGAATGGAGACCAGGAGGCTTTTCAAATGCAGAGGGCAGTGTGGAGGAAGTCTGTTGAAAATGACAGGAGCAGGAGGCAGACAGCCAGGAGGCGGTGCAATCTCCCCAGTCCACACGGGAGTGGGGGCGGGGGTGAGGGACGGGTGAGGGACGCGAAATGGGCTGGGAACTGGGAAGTAAAAAAAAAAAAAAAAAGGTTGTAGCTGCAATGAAGGACAGAACTCACCAGGCTCTCAATGCTACCCTGGCTTTACCATCTCTTCCAGTTCACAGTAGATAAGCTGACAGTATGTGATGTGACCGAGAGGGGCTCTTTAGAGAGAGTGTTAGTCATGAGACAAGAAATCTCTGAGAACTTTAGCTTGCTCTTTATTATTTTAGGATATTTTTGCTCTTTTGCTTTTTTTTTAAGATTAAAAATAAAGACAATCTTCTTAGTCTACAATGAACGTGAATGGATGTGTGAGTAGATGTGATTCAGCCTCTTGTTATAAGGATAAGATTTTAATGGTTGTATCTGTTCCTGTTTCCCATCTTGTCATCTTCAGAGTCACGGCTATAAACAGAGTACTATGAGCAGAGCAGCAATTACTGCATGTGGCCCATACTTATTGCTAAGTGAATGATCAAACTGAACATGCATCGAGTATCTACCTTTGCAAGACCACTTGACATAGACTCTATTGCCTAAATCTTAAAATAAACCACACTGGAAGATAGAGCAATGATGGCTTATCAGAGGACATAATTCAGATTCAGCCCCATTTGTTCTGACCTCACATCCAGAATTCTCAATTGTAATTCTACTCTAGAGCTAGAAAGCATGTAGAGAATAGATTCTCTGTTCTGGGTTGTCTGCAAAAAGCCTATTGGATGGACTTCCTTTTCTCCTCTGGTTCCATGTACACTGCCAGTAAAGTACCACTACCATTCACTTCACAAGAAATCCCTGGGAATATTACTGCTCTTAACTTCAAGAAAAGTAAAAAAAAATAAATAAATAAAAATAAAAATAAAGCAGGGAAAGCTATAAACAAACACCATTTTTTCTTCCCCAATTTTATTTCAGGCTTAGTCTTTGTGATAAATGTGCTCTTCTTTGATGTATTCAGTTTGCTTTGCAAAGGCTCTGTGATACAGCCTTCATGGCCTGATTACATAGTTTCAAGAAACTATGGTTGGGGGAAGAGTAATATGTCTACACTGAGGCTACTTCATAATGTCAACTGTCCACAGCCTCAAGTCTTTAAACACCCAGTTCCATTCAGCTTAAAAGAAAGATTTACCCAAGGAACTCTAGTTTCTAGATACTGACAGTTATTTCCCTCAGGACTGAATTACATCTGAATAACACTGAAATCTTCTCTGGGTGAACTGAAGTTCATGTTTTACTGACATGTTCCCTGAAAGTTGGTGAGGTTTGGGTTTGACATTTAAACAAATGAGCGCCGTCATTACTTACAGACTTCTTGATCTTTGATGTCACTGTCAAATCTGCAAGATGGATTAGAACAAGAATTACCTTTCTGCTTCATGGTACAAATAGATCTACTTAGGGTATCAGGAGAAGTGACACTACTCATGTAAGATAAAGGGATGCTATGAGTATGAAGCAGACACAACACAGTACAGGCAGCAGATGTAATTACTGACCCTCAGGTCCACATAACATGTGCACTTTCATGTAACTGGTTGCTTGGAAAATATCAACCTTGTTGAATTGCATATGCAATGCCATTAGCTAGAAGTCCTTTTTCTGACAATGTCCTTTTGTAAACTGATGCAGTAGAATATTGTCTAAGCATAATAGCAAAGTCTTGATCACTCAGCCTCTTTTTTTTTTCCTACTGACAATCTCTCACCATCATTATGTCCCTACTTCATTATAAGGATGCTCCTTGCAGAGATAGAAAGCAGTTTCCTGGAAACAAATGACAAAGTCACTCACAAAAAGGTACAATTACTGTAAATGGGAGTTGATGAGTGTTTGTGTTCCAGCAGAAAGTCATATGCATGTCTAATTATGGAACTTGAAGTCCTAGGAAGCAGTAGGTGGTAAGGTTCTATATCTTATATCCAAGTCCACTCACCTACTTATTTAACTGATATATTTTGAGCAATATTTTATTTATAAAATTGATGTGTGTAAGAAGGAAAATACTTTGGAACACTAAAATAAATAAGTTAGATGTAATCTTTAGCCCTTATTCCTTGAGAAGAAATTGGAGGGAAAGATGTTTCTATTCACTCAAATGTTAAATGGCCAGGAAAATATTCATTTCTCTGCCTCTCTTTCTCCGTGCTCAATGATATTGTTTCACCTGGGAAATTCCAAACTTCCCTATCATGACCTCAGAAAAAGAAACCATGCAAACAATGGACATTCATCTAGTCATGTTCTTGCAATTTGTGTGTCCACAATTAAGTTCTGAACTCTCTAACTCTTCCCTATTCTAATTACAAACTGAAGTTGATAATAGCTGCTTTTTAAAAATCATATCACAAATAATATATAATACTTTCCCTTGATATAAAGAAGAGCATGCCAACATATTTTTCTTGAAATAGTAAATACGGATTAATGTCATTTTATTTGTTTGTTTGTTTGTTTGTTTTTGCTGTTCCTTTACTTCCACTAGTGAAGTGTTCCCTGTTGAAGTTTGTAACTTTCTGCTGCCATAGCCTAACTTAATCTATGTAGCTCTTTCAGGCCTCTGCCCTCACCCCATTCCTCAATAGAGTGGTTTTCTAAAAGAAATGAGTAAAATGGAGTTGGCCACATTACTCTCCCTTTCCTGTCAGATCCATATACCCATCCTTCTGGTATTGTATGCTTAGCATTGCCTTTCTGTCTCTCCATGCAAGTCCTTATTTTTTTAAATTTAATTAATTTATTTTTTTGTTTTTCAAGATAGGATTTCTCTGTTTAGTCTATGCTGTCCTGGAACTCATTTTGTAGACCAGACTGACCTTGAACTCAGAGATCCGCCTGCCTCTGCCTCCCTAGTGCTGGGATTAAAGGCATGAGCCAAAATTTTTTCTCACAGATTATACTTGCTTACACTATGTCTTATTTGTTTGTTTATTTGTTTATTGTAGTTGCTGTCAGTAAATTGTTCTAGCAATAATGTTCTAAATAATTACTTACTATATGTTGATTCAACAAGGTTAAACCACATTGTCACTTAAGGATTTAACCAATATGAGTTAAGGAAAATTCTGTTCATGAGATGGTAGGCATATCTGTAATGTAGTTGCTTTCTAGAATTAATTTTATATCCAAGAAGTGGTACTGGCTAAGCTATAACTCTATTCCCAGCCTTCTTAAAGTTAGGTTGATACAATGTGATGTTCTTAGATTAGACCCAATAATCATGAGCATGTTTGTCACATTATATTTCAGTCAAAAAATCAGGATATTGTTTTTCCTAGGTCACTCTTGTCCTACCATGGAAACTTTTAAATATGCACATCAACTTACCTGAAAATTAAAAGTAGCAAGAGAAAGCCAAAGAATAATAAATAAATAAGAAATCTATAAGGGTGCTGAACCTAAAAATTAAACACAATGTTGATTTTTTCCCCCCTGATTTTAGTAGGAGATCATAACTAATGTAGTTGAGGAATTTTCATCATCCAGCACCTTAGTTATGCTTGCAGTTTTCCCATGCTAGTGCTCAAGCTCCCTGAGTTCTCACTGGGCTCTTCACATTCAAAACCACCCACCACTGATGCTCTTTGTCTAATGAGAGAGTGCAGTGCCCTCTGTTGCTTGATTCAGCATTCCAGAGTTCTTTGCTCTGCTAGATCAGTAATGACTCACTGGGGTGGATCAGTTAGGAACATGCGACATGGATGATTGGTGTGTTTATCTCCCATTCCTTTTCTCAAAGAAAAATGAAGACCATTTATGGACTACTATGAGTCAAGCCCCATGTGCTAGGCTCCATTCACATATGCTTCGATGCCACCACACAATCTAATTAAAATGCA